TAAAATGTTATTTTACTTTTTTTATTTTTATGGAAGTCGCAGTCAGCAGACTTGTAAAGAAACCATACGAAAAAATACAAACAGTGTTGCCATTTTTTTGTAGAGCATTCCCATATCGAGCTTCAGTTAACCCCAAAAAAGCCTCATCTGTCTCCTAAATCCCCATTTAAATCCCCTTAAGTATGAAATAAAACAATATGTATTCTTATTTATGTTAGTTCATTTTAATCAGAGTTTTGAATACTTTTCGGTTACAAATTTTCACAGATTTTTATGTGTACATATTTATGTGATCATTTGGGGATTTATTTTTTTGGTTTAGAGACTATTTAATAACATACCTTTGGCCCAAGGTTCCTCTTCCCATTGCTGTCTGTTAATTCCTAAAATTAATATATTTTTTTTTGTGCTCTTGCCACTTTGTAAATTTCTTTTTACACTAAATAAAGAACCGACAATATTGGCGCAAGGAAATCTGAAATAAATGTAGTTCAATCAGTGAAAGCCAATCACAGTGGTCCTTTTCAATTTGGTGTAATGAAGTAAGGGAAAATTGTGTGTTCAGCGAAGGCCAATCAAAGCAGACATTTGCGCCGAATAATACTTTTACAAAGAAAATCTTTGTATGAGAAATTTTTAAGGGCAGGCAATAAAATATATGCATTTTAATTTCAATATGAACATTTTAAATCAAATAAAAATCCCCATCAAATCCCCACATCCCCAAACGAAAAAATCTATCCTTAAATGGTTTCAGAAATCCCCAAAATGGGGCGAAATCGGCGAATCTGGCACCTCTGAATACAAATACATACTCGATACTTTTCGTTCGATATCAAGTAATTTTGGTATCGATACTTTTTAATCAAGTACCCTGCCAGACAAAAGTAGCGAAAATTCTGGTGAAACCGCGGGTTTCATTCACTTCAACACTGGTGAAAAATCTGGTGAATTTTGTATGGGCGGTGTGCAGATTTTCAACAGTTTCTCCCTGTACGTGTGAGCCTTGCACCACTGTCCCACTCGTAAGGAAAACATATAGCTGAACTCCTCTAAAATTTCCCCACGGCAGCCGGCGTAGGGTTGCATTTTCTTCACGTCGAACTCAAAATAACCTTAGAAACAAATTTATTTTTCAAAATGCTTTGTTAATCTAATATATTTACATAGTTAATAATCAATGTTATGAATAAAAATTACAATTAATATTATTAATAAATGTATTTTTACATACATATGTGGTTGCTCCATTTCTTATTATTAGTAGTACTCCTTTGCATATAGATATTTTCAAAAGTTCCAAATTTCTATAAAAAAGTTGAGCGATTTTAACAATATTATAATCAAAAGAAAGGTAATCGATTGACCTTTCTCTGGATGTATATTAACAGTTGAAAGTCATTTATAGTGCTTCACAAACATTCAGTTGTATTACAACTTTGCAAAATTTGACACTTTTTCACTGCTTACAAATAGATGTTTTCAAAAGTTGCAAAACTTCTATAAAAACGTTAAGCGATTTTAACAAAATTATAACCAAAAGAAAGGTAATCGATTATCTTTCTTTTGATATATATTAACAGTTGCAAATCATTTACACCGGTTCACAACAATTAGTTTTGTTACAACTATGCAAAATTTCACTTTTCCACTGGTTACTTATAGATGTTTGCAAAAGGTGCAAAATTTTTATAAAAACGTAAAACGATTTCAGTGATTTTATAATCAAACAAAAGGTAATCGAATTACCTTTCTTTTTATATATATTGACAGTTGCAAATCATTTACACTGCTTCACAACAATTAGGTTTGTGACAACTTTGCAAAATTTCACTTTTTCGCTGCTTACTTATAGATGTTTGCAAAAGGTGCAAAATTTTTATAAAAAGGTAAAGAGATTTCCTCGATATTATAATCAAAAGAAAGGTAATCGGTTTACCCTTCTTTTGATGTATAGTAACAGTTTCAAATCATTTACAAACTGAGTTTTCTGATGGTGCTCCTGGCGATGAAGCTGCTGGCGTTGAAGGTGCTGATGGTGAATGCCAAATCTGTAAACAAAAAAAAATATCAATTAATCTTTATAAACATATATAAAATGTCAATATATACCTTTAGGTTGTAGCTAAGTCGCTGGTGTTTTGCAATCTAAAAAAAAATTACACTATAATCAAATAAAATTTTTAAATATTCAAAATTTTCGCAAAGTGCCATTTCTTCACAGTATGTATACTGGCATCAAAACTTTCTGTGTCTAACTTGCTCGCTGTAACGCATAGAATTTTTATTAGAGTACGAATTCTTATCGGGTACGCAGCTCTAACAAAGGGAAATTTTGTTGACAGTTGAATCAAAAAATTTGTAAGTGTGTAGGTGAGATGACAAAAAAGTTGTGAATATGTTTGTAAATCGTTTGATTTTCAGGGGAAAGTGGTGAGCCGTGGCTGGCAGGGTAGGATCGAAAAACAAATTCTCGTATCGAAGCCCGCTACTCATGCAGCGTTTTTGCTGCATTTAAAAAGCAACATTTAGCACTTACGAACATATATTTTCAAAGAACGTTCATGCTATCGCATTTACTTAGGGCCGGTTTCTCCATCTCTGGTTAATGCAGCGTTTTTGCTGCATTTAAAATGCAGCATTTAGCACTTTCGAACATATGTTTTCGAAGAGCGTTCATGCTATAGCATTTAGCAAATGTACATTTACGCGAGTTCGAAATCGTATGCTTTTGACAAACAGCCGTGTTCCAGTCTCTTATTTAGATCCGTATATATTACGATCAATTCTCACGCAGAAGAAAATCTGCAAAAATCCTACTGAAAAGGAAAAAATAAAATTTAAACCAAAAATTCAATACAAAAACTTGAATTGTTATAACCATAACCAAACATTTGTTTGTGTATATATTCATTTGTCGGTGCTGTCAATTAAAATTTCCTCACTTAAATAGGAAACAAACCAAACAGAGTTGATCACAAATTGATCCAGATTTATATCAGCATCACATCGATGTTGAATTTGCTTAACTTTTCTTTATCCAAATATGTAATGTAAAATAAAAGAAATCTCGATCGGCGATCACTG